CTACCCTCAAAAAACAAATACAAAAGAATGAACAATTTCCTATCTATGTTTTAGATACATCCTCAAATAAAATTGGGTCCAACTGCCTTCAACTTTACAAAAGAATCCAAGCTTCCAAGATGATGGCTGAATCAGTCTCCCTCTTGAAAACCAATCAAGAAGGTACTGAGTATTTAAGAATGCCTCTGTGATGGTCATAACCCAGCATGAAAGATCAGAAACTCAAACCAAATTAGGATGTGCTGAACTCTTCTATCAAAAACAACAGAAAGGGAGTAATTTCCTATCACCTGCACATGTTCTGATTATTTCTTTCCTCATGATCTTTTTATTGCTGCAAATCATCCTCCCATCCCCCCAACAACCAGTTAACATATTGCTTTCAGAAGTGAAACCTGATGGTTCACATGACAATAAGAAGTAAATGCTGACTTGATAATGTTCAGGACCTGAGATGAAATTCAAAATGATGCTGAAAACAGATGATGCACAAACAAGTAGATGATGCTCCTGTGTCCAGGGTCTGGAGCCTTAGTATACTCCAGGAGTTTTCTGGGAAGCTAATTTTTTTTTAATTGCTTGCTCTTTCTCTTAAGTCCTCCCTGCCAGGAAAGGTATGCTATTTAATGCTTCACTCTATTTGAAGCTAGTTGGATATTTTAAGGGATATAGCTCAGTTATAAGCACAGACAAGCTTTGACTTGAGTGGGTCACTCCCCCTTTTAAGTATCCCTGCTTTTCCCCCAGACTTAATTAATATTTCCATTAATCATAAATTTAGTGAAGCTTTTACTTTTTATTGTTGATGTCATGGTTTTTCAACTTCTACATAGACTTTTTTTTGAGGACAATTGACAGTCAACAAGTCTTTGTTAAATGCTTTCTATGTGTCTCACACTGGGGTAAGGACTGGGGACATAAAGAAAGGCAAAAACAGGGTAGCTGTCCTCCAGATGGTCACATTCTAATGAGGATAGACAACAAGCAAATAATTATCTAAATACAACATACATTCATTGTACATGGGCAGGCCTTAGAGTAGGATTTTCAGAAAGCTTCCTATATCCCGTCAGAACTGCAACCTCACTGCAGTGTTTTCTTGACTGTCTCCAGCCATAAAACACATTATTGGTTTCCAACCACGCAGAACCAACCTACAGAGACCCATCATCTGTGCCCTGGTTTTCTGTCCCTTAGGCAAGGGATGAGTCCAACACTATGTTTCTGGCCAACAATGGGCCCCAGGTATTCTTTGACCTGACTGGTAGCAATGACATTTTCCTCCAGCTTTGAAGACATGAGCCCCAGTTGCTGGGAAGGGTGGGGTCATTGATGAGTATGGAGCTAGGAGTAAGAGCTAGACCATAGTAACAACCCAATGCTAAATGCTATAAAGCAGAGTTGATGTGCTCAAACAAATAATGCGTAGATCCTAACACATGCCTCTTCCCTAGCACTGGCTGCAGAATCCGATTAGCACTTTATTCCATCAGCTCTGTGTAGCTAGTGCCGACAACCACCCACAGCCTCTCTCCTCTAATCAAGGAAGAAGTCTCACAGAAGCTTTTCTTTTATCTCTGGATAAATTATTAAAGGTCATTCATCCTTGGCAAATGTCGTTTTTAACAATGTGAAATATTTATAGGGAGGGGGAAACAACACAAGTATTTACTATTTTCATTTGTTTTACAGTAAACCTTGGGAAGATGTTATTGGCAGATATTTTTCCCCTTATTTCCCCCCCACACACACACACCCCTTGTATTTAACTCAGAGTAAGGAATAAACAATCGATCAAATAAGTAGCAAAAGTCTCCACATGACTGAACAACAAAACTGCACATCATTAAGTGCAAATGAACAATTATTGAAAATAGCAGCACTGAAATTTCAATAGAAAGTAAGAGTAAGATTTAAGTCATTAAAAGAGTCCATTAGGCTGAGAATTCTGAAGCAGCCACTTTCTCCAAATATAAGAGCTACTCTTGGGAACTAAAATTTTAACTTCTCTCACCATGTGTGATTGACTTTGAGCAGTGCAAGATAGGGTCCAGGACCAGTGGGGCAAAGAGCTGGAAAGGGAGGCAGAGAGCCCCATGAAGCTTCCTGGGAGGAGGGGGGTGCAGCACATATATTTCTAGAAGGTCAAATATTATGCAGCCTAGTGAGTTAAAAGAGAGCCTGCTCCAATCTGATTGGCTTATCAGTTTATCCATCCCTTACCTCAATCCTGCCTTCTACCTAAGACAGCTGGATAAGGAGCCCTACTGGTCCAAAAGGAAGACAATGGCACCCTTTTCTTTCTGTCTTAAAGACTCTTCTCCAAATTCCAAGCATACACTCTATATTTCCTATATGCACCTCCCATAGTATATCCACACTAGCCCACACAGCCACCCCCCAACACACACCCTTCCTATACATGCATGTGTGCTCACGCGTGCACACCTACACACACACACACACACACACACACACATACACACAGTCCCACAGTGGTATAAGTGAACATGCAACAGGATGAATTACCAAAGAATCCTACAAGGCAGAAGCATAAGGGAAAAGCTATTTAGAATTAACTAGCCCTAAGACAGAGACTTAATATTAGACACTCAGATCATCACATGCCTCATCCATGTCGTTCAGCTCTTGCTATCAATTGTGGGGTCTGTTATATTGAGGAAAGGTGACAACTCGGGCTGTATGGCAGGTTATCTGAGAAAGTAAGCAAGAGGATGAAGGAAAGAACCCGCAATAAGGGGCATTCCTGAATACATGTTTCCCTCACAGGAAAGAAAGAAGGTAATCATAGGCTGTAGTCTCCAGACTGCTGCCCCCTCATGCCATGAGGAAAACTTCAGCTGTGCTTTCTTCAGAAGAGCATGGCTCCCTCTCAAGTAGGACACCACATTTCAATTTGTACTATTAAAAACCTACATTACACAATGAAACAAATTAGCCGGTGAATCAGCCTGCACTGCCAGCAGCCTGGATTGGCAAAATGATAATAACAGGATCTGGCCCCAAGAACATTCCTATAATAGCCATATTTTAATCCAATTGCATATGGCTGACCTCTAGCTAGCACTTCTAAACCATGTAGTTTCGCTGGTTAACCAGAGTTGCTGCCACAATCACATAGGGAACTGTTGCCAGACGCCTAAAATATAACTTCAGTCACAACCATAACCTACTGTCACCACTGACTGCACAACACAGTCACAGCCACTAAGTATTCTTTGGGCCACGAGGAATATCCTCCCCCCCCTTTTTTTTCTTGCAAAACAAAATAATAATAATACTACCACTACTACTACTAAGTAATTTCATGACTAACAGCCGATTACAATTTTGCCAGTGAACAATCTTTTGCTCACTGTCTGGCAAAGGAGGCAGATCCTGAAGCTAGATTCTATTGCACATTAGGTTACAAAAAGGGACTGTTTCTCCTGAATTATGTTCAAGCATTTTTCAAACATCTTTTCTAATATAACACAAATTACCGGGGAATCAAGTCTGCTGTCAAGAAAAGGCTTTTTAGCTTTCTTAACTCTGGCTCTTCCACCAAGTCTGTCTGTCTGTCTGTCTGTCTCTCTCTCTCTCTCTCTCTTCCCCCCCCCCCCCAAACGTAGGGAGAGTACATTGGCAACAAATACAAATGCAAATACCCCCGGAGGAAAATGCTATGTAGACTAAAACTGCTGCCATGCAAATCCACCCAAAGAGCAAGGAAGCACTTTTAAAAAGAGAAATCAGTTCCAAGTGAACTCTGGATTTCTTATTTGGTGGAAACCCAGAAATCCACTGGAGTATCTCTCTTGGCATCCATCCACATCCTCCCTCCGGTTGGACATGCAAACATTTCAGCATTAAGTACATAACAGCTCAAGCCCCCTCTGAGTTCGGTTGGGGGATGGATTGGACTTACAGTAGGAAAGCATAACTTCCAGGCGCAGCAAAGTGTCTCTATGCCAATCCTCCGCTTCTCGGCGAACTCACCCCAACCCTACCTCCTTCTCTCTCTTCCTTCCCCAGAAGTCAGTTTATAGTCAATCGCAGCATTCCATTACATTTCATTGCAAGACCCCAGCGAGGGAATGCAGCACTGGCTAGCCAGCACCGATCTGCACCCCACCAAGCCTTTTGCTTGCTTCTACAAGACGGCTCCGCTGTAAATCCCGGAGAGGTTTCAGCTGAGACGCCAAACTCGACTGTCCAAATATCGAACAGCTCAGAGACTTCTCTCTGTCTCTAGGCTTAAGATCCTCAGTCTTGCCGTGTGCTGCCTCCAGCCAGACCCAGAACCCGGAGATCTCTCTGAACAGGGGAGCGTTCTCAGCTGCTCAAGCCCAGTAAATGAGAGACTGGCTGTTGGGTCCCCCCCCACCCACCCACCCTCCCTCCTCCTCCCTGCCTCAAGATCCACCAAAGCAAATGTTTAATGAAAAACACTAATATTGACCAAACCTCCTGGATCGTAAATAAGACGGGAACTTTTTTTGTCTTTATATCCCATTAAGTTTGCCGGCAACTTTCCATGATTCAGGGCCATTTCAAATTCTGCCAAAGACTACAGCTCAACTTGGTGGAGAGAGAGGTCGGGGGGCTTCAGCTTCAGCTTCCCCCGCCACTCTAGCTTTTTTTTTTTAACCACTCAAGCTCAGTGTCAAGCTCATTCACTGCCCAGCAAAAGGCGAGCGCTGCTCCAGCGCGCTCGCCACCCCCACCTCCCCATTTAACCCTTGCCAATTTTAAGTGTTTGCCACGGAAATAATAATACTAATAATAGACTAACAGACAGATATTGATAGATAGATGGATAGATAGATAGATAGATAGATAGATAGATAGATAGATAGATAGATAGATAGATAGATAGATAGATAGATGATAGACAGACAGATGCCTTCTTCCTGGCAGCTGAACCCTTCCAGAGACTTGCCTCCACCGATCGGAGGTGAGCCCGAGCCGGAATGACATCATCGGGGGTTCACACTTACCAAAATACATTATGTTTCTCATTAATCATACAGCTGGAATCCCACCGCTGCGTCCTGGGCATCAGCTCCTCCTGCGCCAGGCTGCCTGGCACCGAGAGTGGGACTGCTTCATGCTATGTTAGGTGGAAATTTCCCCGGCATGGCATGGAGACAGCGAGAGCGAGCGGGCGAGCGGGCGAGCAAGCAGCTCGGGAGGCGAACGAGATCAGTCGGTGTGCCTGGCTCCCCAGGAGGCGCGCTGGGCTTTGCAGCCTGCCTCCTTCTCCCTAACACGATCCCAGTCTGATTTCGCATTTACTCGGAGCTTTATGCTGCACTGCCCATTCTTACTGTAATCTGACTCCTCCTTGTTATGTCCTTGCTCAGCCTGTGACATCAGGACTCAGAGTACTACAAACAGATTTCCCCCCCTCTTCCTCCCATTCCCTAGAACAGCCTCTCATTGAGGGGTTCCAATACCCAGCCTGGACTAAATATCGCTTTCTGACCCCTTTCTATGTTGTTGTTATTATTACTGTTTTAAACCGGAATCGTGGAAGGCGGAGAGTGGAGGAAAGTGCCTGGGTGGAGTAGGTTAGAGGGAGAGTGGGGAGTTGAGAGGAGAGGAACAGTGAAAAGGGAATGGGTAGGAAGCGTAGGGAGGAAAGAGAAGAGGACATGTAGGGTAAGTAGGAAAGAGAAGGAATCTGTAGATTCACACCAGAGAAAGCGGAGGTGGGGAGGGGAACTGGAAATTAGCACTTTTTTTTTCTATAATCAACAGCCTAATTAGATATGCTGATTTATTAAGTAAGCTACTTGGTAAATATACATTTAAACGGTTTCCCCTGGCCCACCTCTCTTCCTCCCCGTCCGCCACACACACACACATAAAATCTAGGTAGTTTAGGTAGCTAACAGCCATCATCTTTCAGTGGCTATTTTTTCTGCTTTAAACTCACACAGACGAAAAGCCGCGATTAATAAAAACCACCCATCAATGAAAACCTCCAAAATCCCTGATTATCAATAATGATTATTCCCAACTGGTGCTCCTCTTCCAGGCAGTCAGGATTGGAGGAGGAGGGGCTCAGAGACTGAAGAGCCTTCTTATCCTTAAAGGGGAACTGCTTGGAAGATTTTGGCAGATCAAGGAATACTCTCTACAAAAAAAAAAAAAAGTTAGTTCGTCCCCCCTCTGCCGCGCCCTACGGATGACACTTCCTCCCATTAAATTTGAGGAGCACAGTAAAGGAAGTGAGTAGATCCTAAAATGTCCCCGAATCCAGGATTCCGGATCTGTAATCTAGATTATCCAATGCAAGAGAGAAAGCCTGGAATCGTGGATAGAATTTAGTCTTGTAGGAAGGAAAACTTAGGTTCAGGGCCTGCCTCAGACCTTCTGAAAGCATTGTGGCCATAGGCAAGTCATTTGATCTCTAGGTTCCCAAATTTAATGCTCTTATACTCTTAAATTGCAGATCTTAACTTCCTAGAGGAAGTTCCTACACTGAAAGGTCCCCCACACCAATGTAATCATTGGTCTAGTGCTCCCACTGTGTGTGTGTGTATGTGTGTATATGTACATGTATTTGTATACACGTATATGTATGTACATATGTATGTATATATATGAATATCAGAGGAAAAGGTGTTGGAATTTCCTAAAAACAGCATTCCTAGATTATTATTTACATCAGGAAATCTTAATTTTTTGTGTCATGGACCTCTCTGGTAATCTAATAAAGTCTATGAATGCCATTCAAGGACTATAATTTTAAATGTATAAAATAAAGCAAATAGCATTACGATGAAAACCAATTATACGGAAATGCAATTATCAAAATATTTAAAAAGCAAGGACTCTGGTCAATGTCTCCATAACTCTGAGAAAATGGCTTGAATTTCCCGAACTTCACTTTTCACATTTGTGAACATCTTATTTTTAGAAACTTAGTGATCCAAGAATAAAATGAAAGGAAGAACATTTGATTAGGAAAAATCACTTTACTTTTTCTTTGCCTTTTTTATTACTATATTTTCCCATTGGAAAGTAAATGTTTAACATCATAGTATTATTAGGGAAATGTCCATTGATCCCTTTTCATTCTAGAGCAATAAAGGAGTTGGAAAAAATGAAAATAAAAAGTTCTTTGCCTTGGGCAAATATGTGTCCATGACATATTTATGATACAATTTTTGATAGACATCAATTAATCAGACAATATGAATTTGCTATGAGCCAACTCTGGGCCAGGCAGCATCAGGTACATACTTTAAGTTGCTAAAATAAACTTGGAAGTGAAATTAAAAAAAAAAATCAACCCAACTTTGACAAGTTGGTTGGTGGCTGTTCTTCAGTCTTGAAGAAGACCAAAATGACATCACCATGTTGGGGTCAAGGCATAGTATGTCTGACTGTGGCTGATCAGCCCAATGCAAGCTTGGAATGTTCTGCCACAGGTTGGGCACAAATAGTCCATGTGAACATTTGGAATGAGATGTCTCTAAATGTGTGCATCTCATGTTTCCTTTGAGCTGCTACAATTCTGCTTTGCTCATAGAGTACAGCACCTTTGATGTGGGTACGCCAGTGTCTCCCATGTCTCACAATCAATTTCAGAGCTCCTTAGAGAGATCTTGAGAGCGTCCCTGTTTCTTTTGCAAGCATGAGGAAAGCAGAGTTGCAACTGGGGCAAAGGATGACAGGGTTTTTGTGTGTGTGTGTTGTTGTTTGTTTTTTTGTTCCAACCTAGGCTATTGTCTTGAAGTAAAATGTTTCTGAGGGGAGAGAATAGGCACTTAGATAGTGCCATGCACTGTGCTAAGTGCCTTCTAAATATTATCTTATTTGATCCTTATGACAACATGAGATGTAGGTGCTGTTATTACACCCATCTTACATTTGAGGAAGATGAGGTAAACAGAGGTTAAATGATTTGCCCAGAGTCACACGGTTAGTGTCCAAGATCAGATTTGAACTTATCTCCCAACTCCATGCCCTGGGCTCTATTCACCGCATGGTAGCTACCTCCACAGCTACCCAATGCTCCTCTTCTGGCCTGCCTACTTTGCATTGGATGACCATCCCTACTCCTTCATTTAGACCCGTACCATTATCCCTAGGATCCTATCACCCTAGTGCCCATGTCCTAGAGCCCACTTTCCCAAGAGCTGTGCCCTCCTCATTCATTCTAGGGGTTAGAAAATCAGTGTCTGTTTTTCTTGTGATAATATTAGGGGCTATACTCTGAGGGACTGACTGTCCTTTCTTTTGTCGCGACTTCATTAGAATACCATTCTTTGCACTTCTTCAGCCTCTGCTTCAGTGGTGACCCATTCAACAGAATTTGTCCCAGGCATAAGAATTCCAAGTCATAGCTCCATACCAGATGCCTAATTTGATTGATTTGGAGACTGTAATGTCCAAATGTTTTGGTAGTATACAGATATTGTTGCAAGACAAGTGGTTTTTCTATCCCAGAGAGACTTAATGCCTGAGACCTCTATGACTGGATTTCAGGAAATTAATTGCCTACAAGAAAATTGCTAACGGTGAGATAAAAATCTAGACCTCAACAAACTTCCCAATTCCTGAAGCTGTCCTATGGGATTTTCCTGCCTCCAAGGATATTCAATAATATGATATGATCCCATTTTTCTGGTCTGTATTTCTCTAGATCTCTGATTTTTTTTAAATATTGCTTTGCTCTGTGAATCCATTTGCACAATTGTACCTGTTCATCCCCTTAATGGGACACTGACCTTTCTCACCTTGGAAGTATTGGCATCTGGGGAGACCAGGTCATACTTCAAGATGTCTGACCCACTCTTTTCTAAATCATTTCTCCAGAATGGCTTGATTTTTGTCTATCTCAATGGTGACTGGTGTTGGTGATAGCAAATGGAGGAGGTTATCCTATGTTGCAATTCTTGCTGCACTTTCTTCTTCTTCTTCTTCTTCTTCTTCTTCTTCTTCTTCTTCTTCTTCTTCTTCATTCTTATTTTTATTCTTATTCCTATCATTATTATTTCTTATTCCCCTTTAAATGGAGAAAATGAGTATCAATTTCTTCTTTGAAGCATTTCCTGAATGTGTACATGATTTTGGAGGATCTGGGTTCAAATTCCTCCTCTGATGATATATACCTGCGTGACGTTAGGAAAATTACTTAACCTTCCTCTGCCTCAGTTGGTTCATCTGCAAAATGAGGGGGTTTGGTCTAGATGACTTTTGAGATTTCTTGCAGCTCTAAATGTTTGATCCCCAACCAGGGTGTGCTGGGAAATGTTTAACAACTGAGGGGAAAATGGATGTAGAACACACTTGAAAGTTCAATATACATTATGGACATTTCCTTCACCATTTTAGTAAGTTGTGAACAACATTAACAGAGCATTCATTCAAACCTTGATTTATTGTGTGTGCCAATTTACAAATTTTAAATGCTCTACAATGAAAATTTCACAATTAAGTCTCAACTCCTAAGAATGGGCTCCAGCACCCTTTCCTCCTTGGCCCATGCAACTCCTCTTCTTAATTTTGGCACCCTCAGCGCTCTGTATATAATTTGGACTGTGGTGTTCGATCCTTTCTTTAGCAATTTAGTTGTTTCATGTGTGTCTTCTTTCGAAAAGGAACCGCCCCTCGACGGCTGGGTCGGTGTGTCTCTCTTTCTTTATATCATTGCATAGTGTGCAGGACATATTAATCATCACTTCAATCGACATCACCGTCATCATCAAACATTCACTGAGCATCTGCTAGAAATAAGACACTGTGGTAGATGAGGATTGAGCAACCTATGAGAAAAATGGCTTCGACTCAAGGAGCTGCCAATGTAGTTGAAGAATCCAAATATAAAGAAAATATTTGAGATTAGGTGACCTCAGAATTCAGTAAACCCAGTGGCCCTTTATTGCTTCAATAACCCAGGAGAGGTTGATTTTAAAGGTCACTTCCAGCTAGGTGGTGCAGTAGAGAGAGCACTAGGCTTGGGGTCAGGAAGATCTGAGTTCAAATCTGGCCTCAGATATTTCTTAGCTGTATGACCCTTTGGCAAGTCACTTCACCCTGTTTGCCTCAGTTTCCTCACCTGTAAAATGAGCTGGTGAAGCAAATGGCAAACCACTCCAGTAACTTTGCCAAGAAAACCCCAAATGGGGTCCAAAGAGTCAGGTGTGACTAAAAGCATTCAACAACAACAACAAATACAACTTGGTGTCTGTGCGACTATCATAATTGTGAGCTGCTATTGCTAGGGCTTATAGAAAAGGGTGATATTGAGCTCAGCCATGAAGGAAAGGTAGCACTGGATAA